CCGGTCTTTGTGCAACTTTTCTATCCATAAAGAATTCTGGTTTACAAATGCCTGTAGGATTAGTGTGTTTCGGGTTGGTTTTGTGGTTTTTTTTTAAAGTTTTTACTTCATCGGAAATGCCAAGTTGCCGCCTCTCTGCTCAAGCCCCGTTGCGTAGCTTGTGCGTGGTGTGGTGGTTTGTTTTGTTTTGTTTTTTTTTTTTGGTTTGGGTTTTACTTTTTTTATGGTGATTAAACAGGATCGACCTGTTGAAAAGGAGAAGACTTCAGTCTGCAGGGGCAACGGGGATCTGCTCTTTATAAGTGCGTAACTTTAAGAGTAAGGCAAAGCTGAGGCTGACCGCTAGCGTCCCAAACTTCGCTAAGGAAAGGAGTCATCTTCCTTTCTGAAGGGAAAGGCTGAGGTCTTACCGCAGCAGGTAGAAGAGACGGGTAAAGGATTTGTCTGGAGCTGAGGTAGGAAGGATTCTGGGAAAACACAAATTGGAAATACAGTTTGTGTGACTTTCCCCCCCCCTCTTTTGTTATCCAAGTTGTCAGTAATCAGCCAAGGCATATCCATATCTGTGGGGATGTCTGGCTGCTTCATGCCTTAACATGACTCGTTTCATTCTTGGTCATGTTTTTATCTTGTTCGTCTCTTGCTATTGCTTGGGGGAGGGGGGGAGGTGAAGGCACAAGTGCCTTTCCTGGTCTAGCAGGAAAAAGAAAACTACCGTGGTGATTATTTTGCACACTGGCCTTATTGCTAGGCAAGCTTTGTAGTGGGAGTTGTAAAGAAGACAATCATTGGTAATGCGAATTGAAAACGGATTTATGTTCAAGTCCACCTCAAATGTCCCTATTAATGGCCTTGTAATTATGTTCGCTTAAGTCTCCTCTTACAAAGATCCCATTATAAGCAAGGTCTGATGCTTGCCCAGGGCATCCAAATGTCTGACTTCTAGGAATAAGGATAAAGGTTAGTTAACTTTCTCTTCTTTCTTGGTCACAGGAAGCTTTGGCTTTCCTTGTTAAAACTAATGAAAAGGCTATTTTGGTGTGGGTGGGAGTGGCTGGTGATTGTTTCCTCTGATAGCATCAGAGTACAGCATCTTGTAGAAATACGTGGGCTTTCAACTTGCTGGTGGGATAGGCATCATCGCATCGACTGCCTTCTCTGACTCGTCAGTAAAACTGGTTATGGTTTCCTCTGGGCTTGTCCTCTTCCTTGCCTCGTTTCCCTGCTATGACAGCTCGGGCTTAACAATGGCTGCACCGTGGCCACGAGGATGTTCGGTGTCATACTATTGTGTCTGATCATCTTCCCCCCGGCCCAGTAATGCTGAGGGGAGACTGTAAGACTAGTGTGGGTAGGGAATGGTATTTCCCCAGTACACTGTTCTAGGGAACATACGGGAGACTTGCCCCTGGTCTCTGGCAGCTAGTGCCAAAGGAGCAATGTTGCTCTGAAGCTCTGTGTGGGGGCTTCCGTTTATCAGCAGCCAGCTAGCCACGCAGAGTGAGTTTTGACTACCTCTCCTTCCACCAGCTTTCTGACCCCTCTGAGGGCTTTTGTCAGGCTTCCTAGGCTTTTCATCCTCTTCCTAATCTGACTGAAATAGGCCAACAGATTCAATAGCTGTTTTGCGGGGGAGGGAAAGGATGACAGTGGGGGAATCAGTGGTATTAGCCTTGTTTCTTAAAGCAGGCTGAAACCTGCACGTGCTGTTGGCACCTGTTTCTGGGCTTTCCACCCCCCCCTTGTTGTAGTGCAGTGAGCTCTTGCATGCAGCCGGTGCCTTTGTGGTAACAGTAAGTATCTGTACCTAGTGATATCTCCATGAAACTAACACCTGAAAGCACAACTATAAATGTTGATGCTGAAGACTGTTGTTACTGAATCAGTGCTAGGCAGTGGAACTTAGGGATTTTATCTCTGTAAACAAGAAGTTTTAGAATGGATGCTGTACTAGGCAGAGCCCTTTTCTCCAGTAACTGTCTCAGTCTTGGCATGACGTTACTTCCTCTAAGTATGAATATTTTCTGCTAAAAGTTGTATTAAAAAGACCAAAACCTTCACTTCTAAAAGTGCAATGAGAAATGGCCTGTTACTGCTTTCAGTAACAGCAACGGTACTGCAATGGACTGCTATCAGCAAATGTTCCTACTTTAGCCCTGTATTCAGGGGAGGAGGAGGAGGTTGCTCTTTTTGTCATGTTGGAGGGGTATATAAGAATGGCAAGACTGTGTGAGACCAAAGGTCTGTCTAGCTCTGTCATCTCCTAGTGGGTGTTTAGGAAAGAATGCAGGTGAAGGGAACAATTTGCAGTGTGTTCCTGCCTCTAGCAGACTGGCTTGGACTGCTGAACTGGAGATTGTCTCTAGACTATTTTTCTTTTGTCTCTTCAGTTCCTCCCACACCCCAACCATATGTAAGGTTTTTAACAAGCAGTCATCGGTAGGCGGCTAGACCCTTTTCGAATAAGTACTACATAGATTGCTTAGATAGTTGTGGTCGTGCTATGTAATAAGTAACATCTATTAACGTCTAGAGCCCAAAATTCTCCCTTTCCTACAGGTTTGAAAAGTACAAGTTTGTGGTCTCCACCCAGTTGCTGAGAGGGAAGGAGAGGTTGAACTACCTCCCTTCAACCTGTTGAGTTCCTCCCACATGAACCTAAATGTTGGAGGAACAGGTTTCACCAGATGCTGTAAGACACTGCAGTATGGCTTCTAAGTAAGATGCTGTTTTGGTGTTGAGACAGGAGCTTGTCTTGATCCTAGAAGCCTTGGAACATAAAGTCGATCAGTTCTTAATGGTAAATCACAGAAGATCTCTAGAAGTAGGAATATATATAAAAAAAAAGTATCCTGTGGGGTCTTGCTTGGTTAGCATGATGTTGACAATGCAAGAAAGAGCTTGTCCAAAATAAGGATGTGCTGCCTTTCTGCTTGAGAGAGTTGCATGGTGCTTGGTACTGCTGCTTTGGCTTGTTCTGGTTTCCAAGGAAGAAAGGAAGGGTAACTCTGAAGGAGGCGACTTCTAAACAGCTTTCTTCAGCTATGTTTCATGCCTAGCTACTAAGCTAAAGAGAACTGATGAACGGGAGTGGGATTTTTCAGCTTCACTACCTATTTCTGGGATAAGAAACAAAAAAGAGATGGGATGGATGGCTGCTTCTGAACATAAAGCTGGATTTCATTCTAGATGCTGTCTGGTAAATTCTTGGCTGAAGAACAGCAAGTGAAAGCACTGCTTCCTGCTGCTGCTTTAGTATAAGCTGAAGTGAGAGCTAAAAGTACACTTGGGGTGCTAAGGGAGCAGAATAGGTCTGGTTGTGACTTCATGTGCAGGTATAAAAGTATTTTTGTAACATTCTTTTACTTCATTATGTTTTAGAGTAACAACTTTAACTTTTTCTTTCTAGCCACCAAAGTTCTTGGCACAGTCAAGTGGTTCAATGTCAGAAATGGATATGGCTTTATCAACAGGTATGTTTAAAATATGAGAGTCATATTTATACTGTACTAAGACTCATGGTACAGAGATATGTCATGCGTTAGGAATTCCAGCAGTGGCACTAGGACCTGACTACAAGTTCATGCAGTTGATAGACAGATTTGGCCAACAAACTGGGATATTGTCTCGGGGGACTCTTCCCACCTACCACCACCCCCCATCAAAGGTTGTGTGTATGGGGAGAAAACAGAAAGGGTCAAACTCGCTACAGATTTGGTCTGTTACTTGTTCCTCACGTTTACTTGTATGACACCTTTAATGAGCTGTATGTTCTTTCATGACTGCCTGGCTTTTTTTAAAGGTGCAAGTAAGGTTGAAGGATGAGGGGAAATACTTCTGGATTAAAAACTTGCGTGTTAACTGATTGATCAAAATACCTACTCTAAATATACCTTGAGATTCTCTGATGTCATGTAACTGAAGATATTCCAGGCTTGGGTTCCTAGAAATTCTCTTTGTGTCTTTTTTTTTTTTTTTTTCTTCTCTAAACATAAACAAACCTCTGAATGACACGGATAGTCCAACTAGCTGTAAGGGATACTGATCCAACTGTAGGTGCATAAGATCCACACTTCCAAGTTACAGGAGAAAACTCTGGCTTTCCGGGCTGGAAAGCTGTAGGCTCAAGGGGCTTTATATATAGAGTGCTTTATGAAAAACAAAGCTCCTGCATGGTGAACACTTGTCTTGCAAAAGGCAGTCCTGGCAAGTTACTTTGTCCTGCAAGTACTTGAATGGTTACACAGCAGGTAGATTTGGGTCAGTTGGACACTGTAGAAAGGAGTAGAAGAGCCTTGTTTCATGGATCTGAAGCCAGTTCTGGTACAGTATTCATCCCACTCTCTGGAGACTACTATCCAGTGTTGTGTAAGCTTTGAAGAAAAGCTTGAATTAGAAGGTACTCTTAAAGTCTTTTGTAGTAGTTGATGTGAGAGCCTTCAGCTGGATATGGTGTAGTAACTTGTTAGCTTTTTTCCTAAGCTGAAGGCTACTATTACTTCAGTCCAGTGCAACAAATTTTGGATAATGCATAATCTTCACAAACTCTTGGATACACCTGTTCCCTCAGCAGAGAAGGGATTGAGTGAACAGACAGTGGGGTCTAGGATCTTTATGTTGTATGGGAACACAGAATCAAGGTCTCGAACCTGTCTTCATGTTTTGTATGAACTGGCTGGGCCTAATCCAGACAACCTCATGTTCATGTCTGGGTCCCCTTCCAATGGACTCTCCTAACACCTCTTGTGCATGGTTGCTTTGAGTTTCACTGAAAGGAGAGCTCTGTTAACAGCTGTGGCCAGTCCTGTTGATAGTTTTGCTTGACCTCTGGGATAACAGCTCAGGTTGCAGGCCCTGTGGAAGGTTGGGGTTTTTTTTTGGGG